TTTTCGAAGGTGATTTCACGCGATATCAACAATGATCAACATAGGATTATTTTTTGTGTGGCCTAACAAAAATTAATTTTTAAACTTTTGAATTTTTATATCTTTTAAAAGAAAAAGACTTTGGGGATATAATTTGACAAAAGTTGAAATAATTTATGGACAATTATTTTTCAAGAAGAAAAACGAATATATATTTTTAGCGATTAGAATCGGATCAAGCGGCTTTAAATACTATCAATCAAAAATACAAAAGCCTACTGCTTGTAAATGAAATCATTTCATTTTCTCGTTATAAAATGAAAGATAAAAGGGAAAAGCTGTGGATTAATTTTATCTCTTTGAAATTTTTTAAAAAGCTTTCAAACAGTTAAGAAATGTTATTTTATAATGTTGATTTTCATTTCTGGTCTAATGATAAATATCCAAGTATACTATATACTTCAGTAAAATATTATAATGAGGTTATATGGAATACGATTGATTGTGTTCAGTTTTCACGGTCAAAATTTTGATTCAACTGTGAACGTATTGATATTTATAATTAGCCATATCATATTGTTTTGGACACGACTTGAACAAACTAGATTTCACTCATCAGCACTACGACGCAAATAGAATTTAATTTGCAGTTTGTTTTCAAAAGACATGCGATATTTGAAAACAAGTAAAAGTTGGTTGAAGTTGTTGCGTGTCGAGGAGCTTTTTGATTCAGTGTATATATAGCAGTCTAAGTTTTCAAGAACATACAAGCATAAAATTGTATATATAATTTTTTTGGGGGGAATACCAGAACGTCCTAAATAGGAATATCTTAACTATAATTATTTTAGGTTTTATCTTGAAATAATCGTAATGATTTATAAATTTTGAATGAGGGACTTTTTTTTATATCCCTGTATTTGAATCTATATTGAACATTGAACGGTTGTGATTATACTTTATCTGTGTTATATATGATACTGCTTCGTTTAAAATTAGAAAATCAGATGTACGCTCTGACATGCCGCTCTAAAGGCTCAAGACCCTCTGTTTGTATCTACATTGAACATTGAACGGTTGGGATTATACTTTATCTGTGTTATATATAATACTGCTCGTTTAAAATTAGAAAATCAGATGTACATGGAAATGCCGCTCTAAAGGCTCAAGAAATTTTAAATGTAATAAAAATAATATCCATGCACACTGTCGCAGAATATAAAATGAATAGTGATCTAGAAGTCGTTAAAAAATTACATATGAAAAATTCTTTATATAGTATAATGGAAAACAGTACATGTACTTAATTGTATTTTGTAATAGAAGTTTATAAAATAGTTATATTTTTGCACAGTTATGAAGTGTTGGTTTTACTGCACATATAAATTCAGTATATAAGATACATTTAATGCACAGTGATCTTTATAGTAATCTTGGTGCTTAGTATACCCCATTTAGTAGATTTATCATTATGTTCTTGGTGCATAGCACGTTGCAGCCAGTGAAGTTATAGTAAGTTGATGTTGGTGCATATGTGAAGCAAGTAGAGTTTTCAGGGTGTTTCTGGTGCACAGCACGATGCATCCAGTGGAAGTCCTGGTGCATAGCACCTTGCAGCCGGTGGAAGTCCTGGTGCATAGCACATTATAGCCAGTGAAAGTCCTGGTGCATAGCATGTTGCAGCCAGTGGAAGTCCTGGTGCATATCATGTTGTAGCCAGTGAGAGTCTTGGTGCATAGCATGTTGCAGTCAGTGGAAGTCCTGGTGCATAGCATGTTGCAACCAGTGGAAGTCCTGGTGCATAGCATGTTGTAGCCAGTGGAAGTCCTGGTGCGTATTGACGCAGCCAGTGGAGTTCTAAACATTTTTCTGGTGTGTAGCACGTTGCAGCTTGTTAAAGACTGGTCGAATAGTATGTTGTCAGTGGTGTTATCATGATGATTTCTGGTGCACGGAATGATGCAGCCAGCAAATAATTTACAGCGATATTATGCTATACAAAATTGATATATATGTATTCTAAAAGGCTTGTTGCAAATTTTAATTGATTTTCAGAACTTATTTACTTTCGGCAAGCAAATTGATGGAAAATGCTTTACGGCGAAAATTATGATGATTACTTAAGATAAACAATCGTCATTTGTTTTGTTTGGAATGTAAAGATGTTTTTTTATTTAAAAATTCATAAATGTATAGGAGAAATACATGTTTGCGTTCAATCTAGCAAATGGTAAAATCAAAGTCTATACCCAAAAATAATAAGACATAAGTTGTATGGATCTATATACTTAAAGAATAAACTGATGTTTGTGTTTTTGAATGGTTAATTTTAATAGGCAATTAAGTGAATTGAAGGAAAATACAACTGTATTAACAGCGCATATTATGATGATTTACATCTGATAACATCTGTCATGTCTGAAAAATGAAATCTTAAAGACTTATACTTTTATAAGAGAAATATATGTATGCGTTCAATCTTGCTAATGGTGAAATCCATATCAATAATATAAAACACTAAGATATGATTTGTTTAGTTTCTTATGTTTGATAGCTTAAGATGGATGTTTGAGTTAATTGAACGAATAATGTTTGGAGATTTGATGTTATTTTATGATATTTATTCTTTATCATTTATAGAAAAAGCAAAACGGACCTGAACAAAGTGAGTACGATCTAGTTTTTTATTTCCAGTATCAGCGTCAAATTAAAACTATGGTTGCTTTGTTGCAAAAGCAAAAAACTCTTGGTTCGTGTAGATTTGATTTCCTTGATGAAGAATTTTGAGAAGTTATTTATGTAATATTTTGCATGTCGTGGTGGACATCAATTCGTGGGTGTCTTCATATCTCGAAAACAACGAAAATTAAACCCCACGACTATTTGTTTTAAATTCAGAATCATATCCCTAAAAAACTCAACAGGTAACACCAGATACGAATGTACAATTACATTGTCATTAGAAGTGCAGATCCTCAATATACATGTATCATAATGTAACTCTCCAAGCATTCCTTAGCCCCCATTTACTGATTGCGATTAAAATGAAGGAGTAATTCGTTGCCAAATATGTAATATATCCGTATTTTTTCGTTAAGGTGAGAGCAATTCCTAAATAATTTACATTTTTTTTTACTTCGACCCGTCTCTTTGAATTTTAAAACGAACAAAAAAAAAAAAGAAAAAAGAATGTGACGTCACACAACTTTCACTTTATCAGTTATACCCTGGTATTTATTTTTTTTCAAGGCGGTGTCTGTCTCGAGTTTTTTTTTAAACAAAAGATGTAACTCTTTTTTTTTCCTTTATTGAAGTCCCTCAGCAGGATATATTTGTGATAATATTAAATACATTACTCCTAGTCCGATTGCTTACTTTAAATGCCGTAAATGTTAACCTTTAACCTACATGACGTTTTAAATTTTTCTCTTCATTGATACACATTATCCTAATAAAATGATTAAAACCTTAATATCATAATATAATGGGAATGTTTTTATCAACCAAGAGAAGTTAAAACGTTAAGTACCCAAACTGTGTTCTACAAAGGCCTATATTATCATATCTCAATGAAGTGTTCTATTAGAGGTACTTAGACAAAGATTTGAAGTTAATATTTCTCAAATTTCTGAACAATATCATGATTTATATGTTTCTCTGGTATGTAACACAATAATAATATTATTTTTTCTTGAAATTATTGAACTTCGATTTTGGGAGATGTTTGATTTACACATCCTTGCACTTTCAAAGAATAAACTTCATCCTTAATACTTAAGAAATTTATGAATTTTGGAGTTGATGAAAAATATTAAAGCTATAATCCAGAAAACAAACAGTCGAAATGAGAGAAAGCAAACCAACTCACCAGTATTGTCAGTCCGTGTTAAGTGATGCGTGCAGAGTTTAATAATTGATCACACCCGTTGAAACAGTATAATGTTTTGTAACAGAGCGCGAGCTCTGTAATTGTAAATGTTTACGTTTCAGAAGACACGATATTATACTGAAAATGTGAGAAAATATTTACTTCAAATCTGTGTTTAAACACCTTTAAAAACTTTGTCCTTCATTTAGGGTGATTCATTATACATCAGAGTTCTAGCGATATCAATGGCGGGATATTTTCAAAATGGATTTCAACATTTAGTATTAGGATGTGTTTAAAATATGAATTTGGTATTCTTTAAATTGCGAAAATATCACTTAAAACCAACTTTTTGGGAATGACTCAAAATTCACCATGAATTTGACATTATTCACCATGTACTATGGTATTTAGACCGGAAAATATTGTATCTTAATCACAGTGCTTTAACATTATTGATATGGATAAACATTTATCTTTTATTTTTTTAAAAAAACTCTCAATTAGATTGAATTGACGATACCGTTACACAAATGTGGAAAAATTCAAAGTGCCTCACTTTGACTTTAAAATGCTGGTAATGAGACACTTCGCACCTATTTCCCATGGGTTATCATACTCTGCTTTGTAGAAATCAACTGAGTTAGATTACACATGTTACGACATAAATCAATTACTTGTATTTTCACAGAAAATTTCGAGCTTTTATTATCTATTTCCACCACAAACAGCTGTAAGTTGGGTTTTATATGAAAATGAGAGTGAATACCCATGTTTCGGAAAGTCGAATCGGATGTACGATGAAATGAACATAAAAGTAAAAAAAAAACTCTAAAAAGAATCACACAAACATTCTTACGCACTGAAATTCCAATAGATTGTTGGAAAATATTGAGGTCTTCCCCTCAGTTAACTGGATGTTTTTTAATTAAACTATTTTTGGACGTAAAATAATAAAGTTCAATATTTCATGGCAATAATTATGATATTTACTAAACTAAAGTAGTTTCTCAGATTAATCTTTATGATCGAGGCTCTCCTATTCAATGGCAAACCAGTGCTGTGTCCTAAAAATCTTCTTTAAAGAATTAAAAAAAAATTATAAAGCAGTAAACATGGTAAAGGAGATTTATTTTTTGATATTGCCAACAAATTATGTATGCATTAACCATCCGGAAAATGATGACCTCGCACGATTGTTACTAATAATAGATCCTATTACAGGCTCCTGCGTTCGCACGAATACGTGGTCACCAAAGTTTGCGTGAGTGATGACTAATTCACTCCCTGTCCCCCAATGATCAACTCTTTGTGTTTCAGAAGATGCACATCCAATAGCATTCCCATTTACAATTATTTCGACACTTGCCCATGACCGGACAGTTACTTTCAATGACCAGTGAAATGCGTATGTTCCCGTAACAGGCACAATGAAAACTCCATCGTGTTTACTATATCCATTTCCTTCGTTTATTATGACTGTGTCGAATGTAAGGGTCACGTGGGCGGGGATATTAGGCTGGGAAAAGGAATTCATGTAGGCATAGAATGCGACATGCTGTGCAGTTGAAACTGATGTTGGAGGAACTGAAATATTTTTTAGAAAACATGACTATAAAATGTAATATCCATCATAAGTGTTTTATTATTAATTTTAAAAGACGTTTTTGTTGAAGACTACTGTCTAATTGAAAAAAAATAATACTTTTTTGAAGGATATGAATGATTGAAAGAAAAAAAGTATTGTTATACATACTGATTCTTGGCACAATTCTGCTTGTTTCAACCATGAGTGTATCACTTATGGCATTTTTATTTTTCATTTTCACGTTCGAATTGGTTTTCTCTATTCTTCTGTTTTCGTTGCCTTTAGCTTGTTGAGGGAAATTTGACTGTTTTCCTATATTTAATACATCAGTTTCGTTCGTTATTTTTGGAACACCAGAAATCATCTTCAAGGCAGTATTTTCTCGTTGAATTTTCCCCAACAGCCCTTTTATTTTTTTAATTTCTGCTTTGAGATTGGAGTTTTCATTCTTAAGTTCCTTATTGGCTTCTTCTAAAAGGTGCAAACGGTTTTCAATACCATCCATCCAGTTTTGGTCAGCTCTACCTTGGGCATGAAATGGTAACGGAAGGCACAGAATTAAGAGAAGTCCCTTTGGTACCATGTTCAGTGTAGAATTAGGAACTGCATATACATGTATATCTACGGCAATCCCTTACTATTACCTAATATGCGTGTTTTAGTAAAGGGACATGAAGGTTTCAAAGATAAGGAATTGTGTCGTCTTTAGACAGATTTGTGCATATATTGTGTACTTCATGTTCTTATCTTTTTTGAAAACGTTTGACGCGAGTGCACTTTTTTCAATCCCTGAACAATGTTCGGCGTAGTGTATTAAAATAATAACACTGTTGTAATTAAAATGATGATATTATTAAACCAATACCTGTTTGTTGACAAAATATTTAATTTTGAAAGATAATATGAGAGACTACTTTAAGATTAAACTATTTATTTTTGCAATAGAAAATGATCGTAAACAAAATTTGACTTAAACGACCTAATTAAAACAATAATAAATTTATAGAGTGGAGATAATAATTTGAATAATAATAATTTGATATCTAATTTAATATAATACATGTACTTGTTTGCTGTGAGATGGATGGTAGGGTAAAAGCATATAAGTTATGATGGTTAAAATTACAGTTAAAAAATTGAATTTTACATACATGTATTTACATTTGCGTTTTCACAAATTTGCTAATGTAAAAATGTAATGAAAATCATAATGGTTAATACATGTAATGTATTCAAACATGGCCAAGGGTTGATAAAAAGGGTAGAATTTTTAAATATTTTATTTCGATTTATTTTAAGAGAAGGCTCTTGTAACCTTATTAGTAATTGGAACGAGGGGGGATTTTCCAGTATTGTTGCATAATAGGTCTATTTTATAATAGGAATCAGGACAACTCGCCCCCAAGACAAGTCGCCCCCAACACTTCTTAAGACAACTCGCCCCCATTATTTTTTTCTTGTA